TGGAAAACAAACCAGTGGTTACCAGTGAGGAGAGGGAAGGGGGAGGGGCAAAAGTAGAGATGGAGGTGGGCAATTAGGAGATCAAACTGCTATGTCTAAAATAAGCTACAGGGATATGTTGTATAGCATAAGGAATACAGCAAGTGTATCGTAGCGGGGCTGGGGCTCGCGCGCGGAGGCCGTCCCGCATCCCGCGGGCGCCCGCCGCTCAGCGGGAGGACGCAGGCGGGGGAGCGGGGTGCCCGGGGCCTCGTGGAGAGCCTTCCGCGGGGGTACCGGCGCCCCTCCGAACGCAAAGCCGATCGAGGTGGGGCCGGCGACCCCATCCGTCTGCCGCACGGAGGGGCTGCGGGGCACCGGCCGGAACCGCATCCCGGAGCGCGGCGGACTCAAGTGGACCAAGCGGTCCACTGGGCTGGGTCACCGCGGCCGGGGCGCAGCGGCAGCGCGGGGGTAGGACACCGAGGAGCCTTCCTGGCCTGCTGGGCGGTTCCGTTTTCATGGTGACGGGCCGGGCGCAGTAGCCACGGTCTGCAGGGGAGTCCGGGGCCGGGTCTGCGGCCCGGGACCGGCCGGGGGGCGGGCGGTGCTGCTGTCCAGCCGAGAGGACCGAGAAGCTGACCCTCGCGCCCGCGAGCGTTTCCCGGGCTTGCCGGGTCTCCGAGCTCGCCAGGGAAGTGGGGACGGAGGGGTGAGGCAAATTCCAGAGCGTTCCGCCGGACCCCATGGACGAGGACTCGGGGCCTCGAGGATCTCGGTCCAGGACCCTCCGCAGGGGGTGCTGGTCGGGGCTGGCGGGATCGGGGGTCACCTGCCTCTTCCCGCCCCTGCCAGCCCCTGTGCATCGGAACACAGTGGGTTTGAGGCCGGCGGGTGTGGTTCAACCTGCCCCCGCCCCCACCCTCGTCCCCAGTCTAGATGCTGCAGGGCGGAGACAGCATGGAATTTGAAGAAGCGATTTAGCGGATTTAGTTTGGTACGCGGTCTCCCCGCCCCGCCTCAATCTCGTCCACTCCCCCTCTTTACGTTGTAACTGAGGAGCCGACCTCGCGGGTTACGTAATCTGCCCAGTCCCAACTTGTGAGGGGCAGACTCTGCCCAGCGCTCTATTTGTTGTACTTCTGCATCCGTTGATAATGATGATCGTCGCAGGGAAGCGGCGGTTCCTAAATGGCCCTCCCCGCAGCACCTTCCCAGAGCCCTGCTGCTGGGCTTCTAGTGCCACCTGGAGCCCAGGTTGGGGCGGGCAGATTCCTACCATAGGAATAAAGAACTCCACCTTTGTATGGATTGAGGACTCATTTGAAAAGGAAAAAAATAGTAGAATAAGTCTTTTAAAATATGCTCAGCAAAGACACGCGTGAGCAGGGAGGGAGAAGCAGAAATTAAATATTTGGAAATGTAGTAAAAGCCTGATATATGATCACTATTGAAAGGCGACTTTGTTTGCTTTACTTTCTCACCAAGACATTGTGGACAGGAAGAGGAGAAGGGAATTGTTCTTTCTGTGTCAAGCTCCTTGAGGCTGCTCTAAGATTTCTAAGGTCAGCTCTATGGAAGTTGGCAGCTTTTTCTGGAAACTGAGTATCGGTTTCAATTTTGGTGTCATATTGGATGGCTTAGGAATTGTGTTTGTGATTCAGATGCAGACTTATTTTAAAAATTATTTTATTGAAATATAGTTGATTTACAGTGTGCTTATTTCTGCTCTACGGCGAAGTGATTCAGTTATATTTATATATACATCCTTTTCATTTTCTTTTCCTTTCTGATTTATCACAGGATATTGAATATGATTCCCTGTATTGTACAGTAGACCTTGTTGCTTTATGCATTCTGTATATAATAGTTTGTATCTGCTAATCCCACAAGCTCATTGCTTTTTAAAAAAATGTTTGAATAACGCAAAAAGGTACAAAGGTATCAGAATCCCCTGGCCTAATACTGACAGTATCTTCAGCTGTTGTCTTCAACCTTGGCTGCACATTAGCATTCTTTGCAAGCTGTTTTTGTTGCTGTTGTTTTGGGGAGGATAGCAAGTGCTGATGAGGTTGTGGAGAAGAGGGAACCCTCCCGCAGTGTTGGTGGGAATGTAAATTGGTACAGCCTCCATGGAAAACAGTATGGAGCTTCCTCAAAAGGTTAAAAATTGATCCAGCATTTTACTCCTGGGTGTATAACTGAAGAAAATGAAAACACTAATTCAAAAAGATACATGCACCCCAATGTTTATAGCAGAATTGTTTACAGTAGCCAAGATATGGAAGCAACCTAAGTGTCCATCAGCAGATGAATGAGTGAAGAAGATGTGTGTGTATGCACACACACACAATGGAATACTACTCAGTCATAAAAAAGAATGAAAAATTTGCCATTTGCAACAACATGGATGGACCTAGAGGGTATTATGCTTAGTGAAATAAGTTAGAGAAAGCCAAATACTATATAACTTATATGTGGAATCTAAAAATAAAATGATTGAATATAACAAAACAGAATAGACTCACAGATATGGAAAACAAACCAGTGGTTACCAGTGAGGAGAGGGAAGGGGGAGGGGCAAAAGTAGAGATGGAGGTGGGCAATTAGGAGATCAAACTGCTATGTCTAAAATAAGCTACAGGGATATGTTGTATAGCATAAGGAATACAGCAAGTGTAATAAGTTTAAATGGAATGTAGTCTATAAACATTTTGAATCACTTTGTGATACAGCTGAAACTAATATATTGTAAGTCAGCTATCCTTCGCTTTTAAAAATACAACCATTAAATCATACTGGTTGGGCAGAGATTCTGATTTAATTGGTCTTGGTTGGGGCCAGGGCGTTGAGGTTTTTTTTTTTTTAAAGCTTCTCAGGTAATTCTGATGTTCATTTAGCATTAACCCTCCATATAACCTTTTATAAAATAAGTAATTTTGATTATAATTAAGAGCTTTCAAAGTCTGAAATTCACATGGAATAATTAAGCATGAAACAAGAACCTTCTTCCACCCACCACTGAAGACTCATATTTCTGTATGAGTAAAAACAATAGCCATTGCAACTCCAAAGGGATAATGCTATGTAGAACAATTACAAAGGAAAATGTCAACAGCTAGTGACTGCAGATTTGCAAATGGAGCCCTCAAACCTGAACAAAGGAAATGAAGAAGAGAAATAGTTGAAAACATTATGACAAATATGACAAAGGGCTTAATATCACAGGGGCCAAGTGGTTAAGTAAACTTTCCAACAGTTCACAGGAACGGAAAACAGTGATGGTCAACATTTGGAAACATGTTCAAACTTGCTAATTGTTAATTCAAAGCAGAATAATAAATTATATTTTCTGTACATCAGGTTAAAAAGCAAGGAAGAAAAACTAAAGTGGCCCAGCTGCTAGGGAACAGTTCTGCTAAGTCTCAGGAGACTGGGGGCACAGGTTGGGCGCCAGTCAGACTGGTGGGTCTCTCCAGGTCTCACCCACCTCGTCCAGAAGGTGTGTAGTTACTTGTGGCACCTGGGAGCTGATAAACACTACACCTGCCTTTACAAATTGTCACAGCTCAATTGAGGGAGGACTTTGGCTAAACGTATCAAAATCTGTTAGAAAGGCTATTTTTGGTTAAGAATTTCACTCCTGGAAGTTCATTCTGAAGGAGCTATGTCAAAAGACAGTGTTGATTTTCAGATCTCTACAGTACCATTTTCGTGTAGGATATAGCATCATTTTTTTTTAAGATTTTTTTTTAATGTGGACCATTTTTGAAGTCTTTATTGAATTTGTTACAATATTGCTTCTGTTTTATGTCTTGGTTTTTTGGCCACAAGAAATGTGGGATCTTAACCCCTCAACCAGGGATCAAACCCACACTCCCTGCATCGGAAAGTGAAATTTTAACCACTGGACTGCCAGGGAAGTCGCCAGCATCATTTCTTATAATTGGAAGGAATGGGGAGTGAAATGAAATTGTAAATAAGGTTAAACAAAAAAGAAGAAACAGTGTTAAAATAAAAAAAAGTTTAACCGCATCATTGTCCCCTGCGTTGGTTGGATGTGGTCCAGACCGTTATAATAATTTGTCGAGCTCCTAACTTATTTTGAGGTTCTGTGCCAAACATTTGCATATGTTACCAATTTTAGCCTCTCCAGCAGTCCTCTGAAGCACACACTGCTGTAACCCCTAATTTATTGATGAGGATGTTGAGGTGTGGTGGAGTTCAAATTCAGGTTGGCTCAACTTGGAGTCCACATGCGTAACCCACCACATTGTACTCCTGGCCCAAACACTGCTCCCACTGGCTGCTTTTGAGAGGGCCACAAAAGAACAGGCAAAGCTACTAGTAAAGCTTTTTTTAGCCTGGAGGAGAAAAAAGCTTCAGTAGGTTATAAAAGATGCATACTGTGTATTTTGTCTTCACAGGGAGCTAAATAGGGTAAATTTGAATAAACTAAAGAATGAGAGATTGATGTTGGCTGTAGTGAAGAATTTTCCAAATTAACCAGATGAGATACTGCGTAGTCCTAAATTAAGTATTACAAAAATAAGAGAGATTAGATTATTACCTTTCTAGTTGTGTTATCAAATAATTTCCCTTAACCCTCCTACACAGTTGGTAGAAATGGAAATTGGTGCAGCTACTGGGGAGAACAGTATGCAGGTTCATTAAAAAATTAAAAATATGACCCAGCAACCCCACTCCTTTGCATATGCCCAGAGAAAACCATAATTCGAAAAGATACATGCACCCCAATGTTTATTGCAGCACTATTCACAATAGCCAAGACATGGAAGCAACCTAAATGTCCATCAGGAGAGGTCTAGATAAAGAAGATGTGGCACAAATATACAATGGAGTATTACTCAGCCATGAAGAAGAATGAAATAATGCCATTTGCAGCAACGTAGCTGCAACTAGATATTATCCTACTCAGTGAAGGAAGTCAGATGGAGAAAGATAAATATNAGCATATGGAATCTTGTTCCCTAACCAGGGGTCAGACCCAGGCCCCCTGCACTGGGGGTGTGGAATCATAGCCACTGGGCCACCAGGGAAATCCCATCCCTTTTTTCCTTTTGCCTGGAAACTAGAGGGTAATTTCTCTTCCATCTAACAGATATATGTGCCAATAACAGGTCACCTTGTTTTCCTAGCAAATGGGCAGAGTGAGGCGGAGTGCGTGCTTCGCCCTCATGGAACCCAAAGAGCATCTGGTGAAGTGATGAACTCTAAGCCAGGGAGCTCTTCTGTGCTTCAGACTTACACTGTCTCCTTCCCCACATCGCATGTGCCGTGGGAACCAGTTGATCCTGAGCCCCAGACCAAAGGGACCTCAGGCAGAGCTCGTCAGACTGTGAAGGGCGTGCAGATCCCCAAGGGATCCTGAGTGGGGTCCTGCAGGTCTCACGAGCTGCCTGTCCCGGCTCAGAGCTGAGTGACGTGGACCAGGAAAGCTGGGACGTGAGAATCACACATATGGAGTTCCAGTGATTTCACAGAAAAACTCTGGCTATGGGTAGTGATGTAGTCCTTATGAGTCCTAATTTCTTCATCTGTAGGGTGGAGGAAATTCTCAGCTCTCAAGGTTGTCATAGTATCAAAGAGAAGGTGCGTGGCAACTACCAAACCAGTGCCTCTCACACCTGAGCAGTTGTTGAATGTGAGCTGTGACTGGTATTAATTGGACCCTTGTTTGGAGGAGAGGCACACGTGTGGGGGACTGGGTGTGTGTGTGCGTCTGTGTGGATGGGGCGTGAGGGACAAGAGACCCCGGCATTGGAGAAGCATTCCTGGGAAGCCGCTGTTCACTCCAGTGCGACTTTCTGACACATCTTTCAAGCGCCTTATTTTTCTTTCTTTTCCATTTCTTGCCAGACTTAGACAAAAAAAAGCCCGTGGAGCTGAAGATGGACCAGGCTCTACTGCTCATCCATAATGAGCTGCCCAGGACAAACCTGACCGTCTACTGGAATTTCGATTGCTGTTACCATGTAGGTGCCATGTGTGTGCTCACAGCTGTGTTTCTTCTGAGGCTAGTCTGATGTGACCTTTGTGTGGTCATGAAGCCAACAAACGTGTTTGTTTGTTGTTGTTATTTTATAATTTTCATTTCTTTACTTATGCCTGTGCTGGGTTTTCATTGCTTTGCACAGGCTTTCTCTGGTTGCAGTGACTTCTGTTTCAGAGCGCAGGCTCTCCATCTGCGGGCTCGGTAGTTGCAGCTCCCAGGCTCTCGAGCACGGGATCGGTAGTTGTGGTGCACGGGCTCAATAGCTCCGTGACACATGGGATCTTTCCAGACCAGAGATTGAACCCATGTCCCCTGCCTTGGCAGCCGGATTCTTTGCCGCTGAGCCACTGGGGAAGTCCCCACATGTTAGCTTTACTGGTGAGGAAGGCTAGATAAAGGCTCAAAGGAATGCCATCATGGAGAACGCCTGGCAGTGGGCCACATCTGTTCATCTTCTCTTTTCCCTGCCCATCTTTTTCAGACCAGTGAGATGAGCAAATTGATAGACCTGTTTTTTTGGGTTTTAGTTGTAATGTGGCAAGCGCTCTTTCACGCCACAGTAAGAGCATAAGCCAGGCCTGGGCCACTTGCCCATTTCTGCCACCTCTGAGAGCCTGTGCCCTTAGAAGCACTCTCCAGGGGCCTAGTGTGTGACGGGTTTTCAAGTTGTAGAGGAAAGATGCGCTAGGACTGGAGTCTCAGCAGCATGTGCAGAGTTGCTTTGCAGTTGGTTCAGTTTGACCCCTTATGAAGCCTGAACTAATAGTGTTTTATTTGACTTCTGTGCCTCCTGCATAACCCTCTTGCTGGACCAGAGAAGGAAGGGATGAGACTCGGGGCTTCTCCATGGAGGGGTGCTGAGGGAGGCCCACGCTGAGGCCCGTCTGATGATAAGGGATTTTACATGAAGGTGTTACTCCTGTGCTGAACCTTACTGCTTTTGCAGGACACGGCTATTCTTCCATGTAAAATGAAACAGTCTGCTTCCACATTGAGAGCTCCAGCGTATCACCTTCAGAGGAGGCATTTTCATGGGTAGTGATCTGTTTAGTGTTGTTGTTTAGTTGCTGAGTCATGTCTGACTCTTTGTAACCCTGTGGACTATAGCCTGCCAGGCTCCTCTGTCCATGTGATTTCCCAGGCAAAAATACTAGAGTGGGTTGCACTTTCCTTCTCTTGGGGATCTTCCCAACCCAGGGATCGAACCCACATCTCCTTCATTGCAAGTGGATTCTTTACCTCTGAGCCACCAGGGAATCCCCTGTTTAGTGTATGGCAGATTCAAGTCAGTGTGTGGCAAAATCAATACAATGTTGTAAAGTAAAATAAATAAATTAAACAGAATAAATAAAATAAGAAAATAAAAAGGCAAATTTTTAGAAGTCCGCAGTATGGCCATCAGCTGGAAGATGATAGGGCAGTATGTGACACCTCCTGTAAGGTGACATGAAACAGAACATCTGTGATGGTAAAAAGGTAGGTCAAGACCAGGAAAAGGTTTATCACACAAGAAGGTTTATGTATTTAACAAAACATCAATCATGTCTTGTCAAAAGAGACTAAATAAACACAATAGGCAGAAATGATACTTTCTGCAATTTCATATTGCTACACAACAAAAATATAATGGAAGAGAGAATACAAAGGTAAATATTTCATGGAAAATCTTTGGCCTGGCCAAAGCAATTCTTATGAAAATTTGTTTCTAAATGTTTCAAACAATAAAGATGATGTTAATACAGTTAATACAAGTCGCAGCTTCTGTTTAATGAGGGCTTGCTCTGTGTTATGCGTATTACAGCTCATATAATCCTCATTTTCATGGAAAATCTTTGGCCTGGCCAAAGCAATTCTTATGAAAATCTGTTTCTAAATGTTTCAAACAATAAAGATGATGTTAATACAGTTAATACAAGTCGCAGCTTCTGTTTAATGAGGGCTTGCTCTGTGTTATGCGTATTACAGCTCATATAATCCTCACGGCAATCCAGGATTCTACAGGCGGTGATGCTGAGATTAAGGGCAGGAAAGGGACTTTCTCCTGGGTCCCCCAGCAGTCACGTGGGAATGTTGGGGTTCACACCCCTTGTTCTGACTTTAGAGTCTCTCCGCTTTCCAAATTCTGCTTTATGTTTATCAGGAAGGAAAGGGGAAACGCAAAGCTAGTGAGTAAGGATCTCAGGGTTTTGGAAATCAGTGTTATCATCCAAACAAGAAAAAAAGGAAGCAATAAAAACAGTAACTGTGGAAACTGCAAAGTGAGATAAAAATGGGAATAAGAATGAGCCACATGATTTTTTTAAAAAATAAAAGTCACACATACTCTGTAATGGTCTATATGGGAAAAGAGTCTTGTAAGAAAAAAAAGAGAAAGAATGTATATAATTGATTCACTTTCTATTACAGCAGAAACTAACACAACAGTGTTAATCAACTATACTCTAATAAAAACTTTTTAAAAAATCACACAATTGATAAATTACTGATACATTTAAAGAACAATGGAAGTTAATAAAATTGGAATTTATATGTCAACAGAGATTAAAATAATTACAGTTCAATGAACAGTTAAAACTGATCAATTAAAAAAAAAATCAATTCCTTTAAAAACTGTAATATGAAGAATTGATTCAAGAAGTTGAGGACATGCAATCTCCCTGGTGATCCAATGGTAAAGACTCCGTGCTTCCAACGCAGGGGGCCTAGGTTTAATCCCTGGTCTGGGACATTCCACATGCTGTGTGGTGTGGCCAAAAAAAAAAGAAATTGAGGACATAAATAGATCAGCAACTGATTAAATAATCTGGAAAGTTATAGTGAATTTCTCTACATAAAAATAGTTAATTTTTCCTTTATTTTCAAATAATAAATAATTCTAAATCTATATAAACCCATCCCAAGTATCACAACTGTTAAAAAAATGATGGCTTGATATCTGATTCATTCTGCAGGGTGTTAATCTTAAAACCTATCAAAGATATGAGAAGAAATGCAGGTCAGTGTTTCTAATTAATGTGGATATAAAAGTCTTAAACTTGTATCAGGTAGAATAAGTTGGCATACTGAGAGATTTATGATGACTTGTATTTTCATCCTTGAGGGATCTATAAGAAGTCATATATATGGACAATGATCAAATTTTAATGGGAAGATTATAGTCTAAATGGAGAGAGAGTCATCACACACTGATGTGATGATTAAACATAAGAAAAATGGCAGTACTTCCCAAATTAGCTTATACAGTCAACACAATTGCTGTTACTTCATCAATGGATACGTAATAGAAGCTGCATAAAGAGAATTCCAAATTACATGAAAGAGTAAGTGGGCAGGTGAATCAGGAAGGCCCAAAAGTGAACAGATGGTCCAGAGACTTGCTCTACCCGATAAGGTGCCTCAGAGCACAGTGGTGAGTGTAGCCAAAAAGAAACAGGGGCCAGTGGTCCAAACTAAGTGTAAGAAGTAGAATCTAACCTACGTAATAGTTTAACATATTACAGCGAAAACCATGGGAAAGGCATTTAGAATTATCGGATACCATCTATCAAATACCCCAAGTAGATTCAAGTAAAAAAAACCCTGCAAATTAAAAAAAAAAAATACAGAATACATCTTTATGCTCATGAAGCAATAGAAGAAGTAACACACCAGAGAAGTGTGAATGTATAAAGCTTTATAAACAACAGGATATAGCAAGATGAAAGCACTAGAGTGGGGAAGTGTTTGAGAGAGTTAGAAGCTTAATGTTACAGTTTTTGAGGACAGATTTCTAAGATTATGTTCAAGGGAACTAGGTGTCTAATGTGGTTCACACCATAGGGAACATAAAAGAACCAAAGAAAATTGAATTATTTAATCTACTGATAGGGGCTTCCGTGGAGCTCAGTGGTAAAAGAATCTGCTCGACCATGCAGGAGATGTGGATTCAGTCTCTGGGTTGAGAAGATCCCTTGGAGAAGGAAACGGCAACCCACTCCAGTACTGTTGCCTGGGAAATGCCGTGGACAGAGGAGCCTGGTGGGCTGCAGTCCATGGGGTCACAAAGAACCAGACACAGCTGAAGCAACTAAACAACAACAGCACATCTGCTGATAATTAAAAATGTAATCTCAATGCTGTGGTATTATAAACTCCCAGTGCCTGAACAAAAGGAAGAAGGATGCGAAGTCCTCCTCAGGCTCTGAGAAATAAATCTGTTATAGTTTTTTATTTTATGTGAATGTTGTTTGGCCACGTGTAACAAGAACCATTAAAATTATGATTTTTTTTTTAAAGCCAGTACTCTCATTTTTGGAAATTTATCTCAGGGAAAGAATTTAAAAGAGTAAGAACATCATATGTAGACTTTAAAAACAATATAATTTTTATAAATTATAAATATATTATCATATTTAAGTCATCATTAAATTATGTCTTTCAAAACTATAATTTATATAAATTATATACAAAAGAATAAAGAAAAGCTTTGAAAGCAGCCTAAGTATTCCTAACTATAGTATGTGATGAAATATGATGTATCAATTAATATAACCATTAAAAATATGCAAGTTGGGTAGAATCATATGTTTATTTGTTAAATTATAGGCAAAACCATAAAAGGCAATATTTAATGGATGCTCTGTTAATGGTGTGAAGAATCGATCTGTTAATAAAGGTTTGTGTAATTCCATAGCAATACCTACTTACATGGACAAATTTGATCTAAATTATTGAAATGTAAGAGTTCTTGACAAGCACGAAGGAGTTTTCTCAGGCCTCTCTGTTGGATGTCCAACTGCCGCAGACTGCTAGAGCCCTAACCCTGATGTGTGCTTGGATCTCTAGTGCCTGCTCCGGGTTCTGGCCAGCGTCTCCCAGGGCAGGAAGGCCGGGGAGCCGGGCGTGGCAGCAGTGGCTGTGAGCACCCAGCACTGGTCCATCTTGCAGCTGAACGACACTGCGGAGGACACGGAAGTTTGTAGGTTCGTACCTGCTTTGCTGTGACCTACTGAAATCTGCATTTCTCTCTACTTCTTGTTTTCCTGTTTGGATTCTAGCTCCTCCTTCTTGCAGAACATCTTTCTGTGTCTTTCCTGGTCTCCACGCAGAAACGCCTCCCACTCTGTCTGGATGGCATTGCCAGTATCCAACTCCTCATTTCCTAACCTAACAGCCTTTCTTCATTTTACCTAACCTCTGTAGGCTGGAGTACAAATTTGGAGAATTTGGAAACTATTCTCTGTTGGTAAAGCACGTCCGTGACGGAGTCAGTGAAATTGCTTGTGACCTGGTCGTCAACAAGGAGCCAGTTGACAGTAACCTTCGTACGTACATGCTCTTGCTTGATTTTGAGAGTGTGCATTTTGAACCGTTTCAGTTTTTGAGTATTGTTTGCAGCATATTGTGTAATTCAAATCCTGGGTTACAGGTGGTTGTCTATCTCATTATGGCATATTTATTGTGCCATTGGTATATACTAAGAAAATTATGTGATATATACAAATATTTTACATTTCCACATATTCTCATAGTTGTTGTTGGTTTAATTTTGAAACATAAATAAGCCAAAAAAAATTATTGCAGTGGAAAGAAACTAGAAATTGGCTAGCAGTCTGGCAGTTGGCTGTCAAGTATCTTTCCTTGTTTTAGGATTTAGAATACAGTGTTTTCTGTATGTGCCTTTGACAGTTCAGACATCCTCTTGGGTTCTGGAGGAGTTGTTCAGTCTCTAATAACTCCTCTGGAGGAAACGAGTCATTCTGGGGCCCCAGTAGATAGTATCAGAAGTCCCTGGGGCTGTTCCAAACAGTAAGTACTGTTCACAGTGACGCTGTTGAAGACTGGTTGGTTGTGTCAGAAGAACATCAGTACGAGGCAGTGTGAAAGGGCCAACATGGGAAGATTCAGTCATTAAAAGAATAATGAAGTAATTGATGGAAACACACTGAACATAACAAAAAGGAACGAGTTCACTATGAGGCTATAAAGCCCAAGGCCCCCGTCCCCAAACATAAACAATATTCTGGTTGCCTTTGGGGGTTACAGGGACACCTGATGTTAACTGGTGCAATTAAAATAGTGGAAAAGCAGGATCATCTGTCATGCCTTTCCTGTTTTTGACTGTATTTTAAGATAATGAAGTAGTCCTAGGTGAAGAGGGTAAATTCTTTAGAGAAGAATCCAGCTAATAATGTGGCAGAATATTTTGCAACACCCAATGAAGTCATTGATTTAGGCAAAATCGTGAGTGGATGGAACCATCCGATGAAAGGGGGACTTCACATGGGAGGGGTCAGGCCTCCACCAGCTGAACATGGGCATCAGGCACACGGTGGGAAGCAGGAGGTGCTACTGATGGGATGCGTTGGTAAAGACGCCACATCTGCGGAGCATTCCTGCTGGGAAGTGGGCCTTCTTGGCCAAGGCTGAACAGCTGACTTCCCATCTGCAGAACACTTGGAGGACCGAGGACCAAGATCAGTGACACCGGATGGAAGCACCCTGGCAGATCTAGACCGAGAATGGGACGCCCTGATAGGAGACAGCCAGCCTCGTGTAAATCAAGTCCGTGACTGTGGACGAACGCACAAGACTTAGGAAACGTAGCAACACATGAAAGGTGTGAGCCCTGCCTCGGTCCCGAGTTGAACACATGGGCTACAAAACGTGTCTTCAAGACAGCTGGAAAAGTTTGAATACGGAGTCAGTGTTAGCCAGGGACTTACTAATTTTGTATCACATTGTGCCTATACAGCAAAAGGTCCATTTTTAAGAAACTTTTCATTTTGAAATAGCTTTAGGCTTATGGAAACATTGCAAGGAAGCGGTCCCATATTCCCTTTGCCCGGCTTCCCCTAAGCCCCTGAGCCATACAATCACAGTACCGTGATCCCTCGTATAGTTTCTGAAACCAGGCACTTAACGCGCACCCAGTGCTGTTAGCTGAGCGTCGGACTTCTCAGGTTCTCCAGCTGCCTTTCTAGTGTCCTTTTCCTGTCCAGGCTCCCAGGGCACTCAGTGGTCAGGTCTCCCAGGCCTTCTCTAAGCCAGTCTCATCTCTTCTAATCAGGTTTTCTTGATCTTGCACCACCGTGACACTTGTGAAGAAGACTGGCCAGTTGTCTTCTTACTTGGTTTCTTGCTGCTTCCCTGTGATCAGGGACAGGCTGTGTGTCTTCAGCAGAGTCCTGTGGAAGTGACGCTGTGTCCTCTTGGGGGTGGGGGGTCAGGTCAAGGGTTGCTGGATGGTATCGATGTACATCCCAAAGATGTAGGAATAAAATAACTGATGTCAGGGATTTGCCTAAAAGACTTCGGGCAAAAAAAAAGGGGGGGGGAGAATGAAGATGAAACGAGTGGCAAAGTTTGAAATTCTAGAATCTAGGCTACAAGTGTATGTGGGTTTATTATACAATTCTCTACAGTTTCGAGTATGTTTGATATTTCTCATGATGAAAATTAGCACTTCAGTCATGAATCGTATTCTCAATTGTTAGTAAGAAATTTCACATAAGGGATATAGGCCTTCCCTTCATGTTTCCATTTTTATTTGTTTGCATCTTTTCTTTTTGTAACTTTTCCGTTTATTTTATTGAAGTACAGTTGATTTACAATGTTGTGTTAATTTCTACTGTACAGCAAATGTGACTCAGTTGTACACACATACACATCCCTCTTCATATTCTGTTGGGATTTTTCATTCACAGATTAACTGCACTGACATGACAGCCTTGATGACCACACTTTTGGTGATGACGTGCTTCCTTTTATTTTTGCAGCTGTGGGTATCGCGTTCCTCGTCGGCATGGCACTAATCATCGTGGTGTCCATCCTGAGGTTCTTGCTGAGGTAAGTTGGGGCAGGCACACTGGAAAGTAGAATATAGAAAAAAATGTGTTCATAAAGAGTAGTTTGGTCATTATTCCTGGATTAAATGAAAACTTACTGTGTCCACCATGCCATCCTAGGCATTAGGGATTCAGTGTTGAATAAGAGATGGCGTCTGACGTCAAGGAAATAATAACCTAGTTGGAATGGATCTTTACCTTCAACTCTCCCACGTGGCTGAAATGTAGAAGAGAATGCCTGAGCAATCACTGTTTCCGGAGGACTCCCATCGTGCTTCACGGCGTGTGGATGTGGCCTGGGATAGTTTGGGGAGCTGCTGCCACCCCGACTGTCTTCGTCCTCTCAGCCCTGAGCCCTGAGGCCGTGTCTCTGGCCCCAGCTCCTGCAGCCAGGACCCCCACCTCAGGGCGGCCTCTCCCTTGGTTAGGGTCAGCCAGCTCTGAGAGGAGATTCCTGCCCCTTTGCTGGTAAACTGCCGTTCTGGTGAGTGGGTTTGTGACCTAGAGAAGAACAAGAAGGTGAACTAGACTCAGGCCTAGCATAGCATCTTTCCAAGGGAGGGTCTTTCTCCTTAGAAGGAATAGGGTTGAATTTTTGCATGCTCAGCCAGTGAGAGTCTCAGGAAACACCACGCGATTCTGTTGGTTAGCCGGATCCAGCTGGAAGAAGGAACTTCCTGGAAGGAGTGTGCTTCCCTGGTGGAGAGCCCTGGCTGTGCAGGGAGAGCTGCCTGCTGCCGACGGTCAGCCTCACTGCCTTTCAGGGACACCGTGCCATCCTCGCAGAGGACGTGCATCCCTTTGAATGCTGATGAGACGCAAATAACGTTCCAGTTTCTGAGAGTGTTTTCATTTGGTGTGGCTTTTTTTTTTTTTTTGACGAGCTGGGTCTTCGTTGCTGCTCATGGGCTTTCTCCAGTGGAGACAGATGGGGGCTAGCCTCTAGCTGCGGCCTGCAGGCTTCTCACTGCGGTGGCTTCTCTTGTTGCCGAGCACCGGCAGGGTGTGCAGGCTCAGTAGTTGTGGCCCACGGGCTTAGTTGTCCCACAGCATGTGGGATCTTCCTGGACCAGGGACCGAACCTGTGTCCCTTACAGTGGCAGGTGGATTCTTAACCGCTGGACCACCAAGAAGTCCTCATTTGCTGCGTTTCATGTGAGTGTTATCTATTGCATCATGTTTAAAGTGGTAGGTGCCTGATAACAGGCTCCTGCAAAGAGAAGAACATCCCCCTGCCCCGTAGTGGAACTGAAACTCCTTTTGCAAATGATTGTGCCTTCACAGCCTGCGGGCAGATGCTCCTGCGGGCAAAGCAGAAGTTCCTTGTATCTCTCCCATGAGCTTCAAGCTGCCCGTGGAAGCCTCAGGAAGTTCAGATGTGTGTGAACTAGAAAGGAATCTGAAAAAGTAGTCAGAGAAGAGTACGTTGTCTCTCTTCTCTTCATTTGGGGGAACAAGCACGTATAAGAAAATAAGTGCTTTTTCTTTTTCAACTTCAGTTTTTAAACATCTTGTTGTTGTTCTGTGCCCAGTCGTGTCCAGCTCTTTGCAACCCGTGGACTGCAGCACGCCAGGCTTCCCTGTCCTTCACCATCTCCCGGAATTTGCTCGAAATCATGGGCATTGAGTTGGTGATGCCATCCAACCATCTCATCCTCTGCCGCCCCCTTCTCCTCATGCCTTCAGTCTTTCCCAGCATCAGGGTCTTTTCCAATGAGTTGGCTGTTGGCATCAGGTGACCACAGTATCAGAGCTTCAGCTTCAGCATCAGTTCTTCCAATGAATATTCAGGGCTGATTTCCTTTAGGATTGACTGGGTTGATCTCCTTGCTGTCCAAGGGACTCTCAGAGTTCTTCTCCAGCCATCTTAACTTCTCCTTTTTACCCTCAATTACATGATTCTGTTTTAAAGGTTTTCATGTGACAGTGATGTTACTAGTGCTGAATACAGAAAAAATGGGAGTTGACTTGTAGGGAAAAAAAGAAGAAATTTTAAATGTATGCATTGAATATATGGATCATATTTGGATACTGTTTTGAGCCATTAAATTGCAAAAAAGTTAGGAAAATTGAACTGGCTGGGTTTTTTGGGGGAGGGTGGATGGGGTGGGCCACACTGCTTGGCTTGCAGAATCTTGATCTTAGTTCACCCACCAAAGATCAAACCCATGCCTCTTCAGTGAAGGTTCAGAGTCCTAAATCACTGGACCGCCTCTGTCCTACTTTAGATTCCACGTATCAGTGATAACTGTACTGGGCTTTCTCTTTCTGAGCTCACTTAGTATTATCTCTAGGTCCATTCATGTGGCTGCAAATGGCGTTATTTCATCCTTTTTTTTTCATGGCTGAGTGGTATCCATTGTGTATACGTACCACAGTGAATTTATCCATCCCTCCATTGTTTGTTTCTTTGTTACTGAATTGTAAGAACTGTGTATTTTGGAAATCAAGCTCTTCCAGTCACGTCCTTTGCAAATTTGTTCTCCCAGGCTGTCGGTTGTCTGGCACTTTGCTTGTGGCTTGCTTTGCTGCACAAAAGCTTTAAGTGTAATTGTTTTTGCTCTCATTCCTGTTGCCTTGAAAGAGTAACCTAAGAAAACATGGGTACAATTAATGTCAGAGAATGTTTTCTGTGTATTTTCTTCTAGCAGTTCTATGGTGTCCTATCTTATATTTAAACCATTTTGACTTTATTTTTGTGTATGGCGCGAAGGTGCCTCTAGCTTCATTAATTTACATTCAGGGTGGACAAATAATAAAATCAGAATCGAGAGAGTCACCCATTCACCTTGACACTCTTGTTTTTTCTGGTTTTGTTTGTCGGTATCTTTGAAGTTAGAATTACTGAAGTATAATTGATTCACAGTGTGTTAACCTTCGCTGTAGCAGAGTGACTCAGTTGTACGTGTGTGTGTATACACACACACACACTCTTTATCACGTTCTTCTCCACCGCGGTCTCTCACAGGAGGTTGCCGCACAGTGGGTCCTGCTTGTTTCTCCGTCCTGTATACTGTACACCAGTTCGCCTCTGCACCCCTCCCTGGCCCCCCACCCTCCTCGGCCACCGCCGGCCTGTCCTCTGTCTGTGCATCCGTTCCTGACTCAGAGACCGGCCCCGCGTGGAGGCGGTGCTGGGCGCCGTTCGTCTTTCTCTGTGCGGCGCCTTCACTTGCTGTGATCCCCTCCGGGTCCCTCCCGCTCCCGCCTCGCTGCTGCCGGGCCCGTCGTGGCTGCCTCAGGCACCCGCTGCTGCGCTGACTTTAACCAGAACTCCAGCCGCGGGGACCAGGGGCATCGCTTGCCCTCATGACGTTCTTGAGGGAAGGCTCTGTCCCTACTCCTTCCTCTCTGAGGCACTCATGCCATCAGCGTCCTGCGCTTGAAAGTACTGCTGCTAGAAACTTTGATTTCTACTTCCGTTTCATTGAAAACGGAAAATGTATGATTCTTTGACTTTATAGAATGTGAGCTTTCACTTTCTTTCAGCATGATATTCTGAAAATTCTGCCCAAGAAAATAAATTAACCGGGCCTTTTATTTGTTGACAGTTTGGAAGACTTTCAGAATTGGATTTCTAAAGCAATCAATTCTCGGGAAACCGATCGCCTCATCAATTCTGTGAGTGATTAGAACGCGTCTTGTGCGCTCTGGGCGACTTCCTCGATTGGGAATTTACAGTCCCTTATGCAGTCACCTGGACTGCCTTGTGTTGTGCACGGCCAGGTCGAGTGTGCTGCCTTCTTGGTCACCAGAAGGCCCCTCTCGCCCCCGTGAAGGGTGCCCCCTCCTCTTTCTTGGTGAGGCTGGAGCTCGGGCTCTGTGCTGATGCACTGCTGAATCGACCCCGTTAAGTAGAGTGTCGAGATTAAAACCAAAGGATGAGAGACATGAGTATTAAATCCGTACACGTGGTGGCCCGCTGTGATTAAACGTCCTGTCTCGTGTTAGTTCCTGTGGACACATCCGAGTCCACTTGCAGACACACCTGCGGGTGTTCTTGTCCCAGACGTCCTTTGTGATTGTTTATCAGCCCGGCCACTGCAACCTCAGCAGAGGTGCAAAACCCAAGTCAAGTGAAACCCTGATCTCTAGGTGCGTCTTTACAAAAGCAAATGAAAGTGTTGTCCAGCCACAGTGATCCTCAGCTTTCACTCTGCTGATTTCTGCCCTAAAATCGGAAAAGTCTAGTTTACTTTTCCATATCATGAACTGTTTGCATTTTTCTCCCCTTTTCCGGAAGGAGCTGGGGTCCCCGAGCAGGGCGAGTGACCCCCAACCAGAGGCCTGGCGTCGGTCGGCGGCCCCACTGCGCCTCCGCTGCGTGGACACGTTCCGAGGGTACGTGGGCTCCTGGTGACATGTGGCCTTGGGTGGCACGTTCACACGCACACACACTTGCTGCAGAAGGTATTTCAGGCACCCTTTGCTCTCGAGGCTGGAGAAGCTCTCCTGCTGTAAAGCTAAATCAACAGCCTCTCCTGACTCGAGACTACCGTGAGAGCCAGGCGGACGGGTCACTCGGAGCAGCTGGTTGGGGGAGAGGCCGAGACCCACCTCGGGGGGGCCCGGGAGCTGCTGGGGGGGTCACTCCCGCCTGCGAGGAGCTGCCCCGAGCACCCCTGTCCACTCAGCAGCTGCACAGACGGGCCAGTGCCCCAGCCCGGAAATGGAACGCGGGGCAGCCTCGTCCTCCTCCTCCACTCACAGACCAGCTCAAACGTCAGGCCCTTTTGATGGCAAATCCAGAGTCACACGGTCCAGAATGGCGGCCAGGACCGGACGCTGACAATAAGGCCTGAGACTGTGTGGCCGAGAAGAAACCTCTAGGTGTCAGGTCTGGTCTTCTGTTGCTTCCCACTGAGGCCTTTCAGAACCCTTTCAGGGTCCCCCGACCCCGCCTCCCCAGGGCTCCGCATGCCCCTCTCTGTGTGTCTGAAGCCAGGCAGTAGCGACTAATGATGCTAATAATAACCACTGCAACACAAGTCCTCCTGTGTGCCAGGCCCGGTTCCAGCTTGTCTTCATCTTTTCATCTCTCGGCAGTCCTGTGAAGTGTATGCTTCCTAAAACATCCCTGTTTCTCATGGAGCAGTTGAGCCTCAGAGCTGAGTAAGCTGCCCGAGGTCACGCAGGGACCACGTGGGATGTGCATGCAGTTGGCTGGGCTCCAGTGTGCTGTGCTTAAAGCTCAGTCATGTCCGACTCTTTGTGACCCCAAGGACTATAGCTCCCGCTAGGCTCCTCTGTCCCTGGGATTCTCCAGGCACGAATACTGGAGTGGGTTGCCATGCCCTCCTCCAGGGCTTGAACCCAGGTGTCCCACACTGCAGGCAGATTCTTTACCATCTGAGCCCCCAGGGAAGCCCAAGAATACTGGAGTGGGCAGCCTATCCCTTCACCAGGGGAATCTCCCTGACCCGGGAATCAAACCAGGGTCTCCTGCATTGCAAGCAGATGCTTTAATTTACCAGCTGAGCTACCGGGTGATTTCTGGGCTCCACCATTCCCACAAATCACCCTGCTGACACACTTGTGTCTTTATTCCCCACATTCAGGGGAATTGGCATCAGATAGCAGCACAGGCAGAATCTGTCTGGCTCCATTCCTGTCTCTCCTGGAGATGTTCCCGGGTGTTCAGGGGCTGACACTGATTCAGTGCTGAGATGTTTCAGCACAGGTTCGGTGCGGTGATGGACCTAACTCTGTCATGGTCCCCGGGTCGGGGTGTCCCTCCCCCTCACAGAACTGATGGGAGGCTCACCCAGGTCCAGTGGATCCAAGAAAGAGGGAGCCAGGTCTTGACCTGAAAGACTCTCCCCCCACTACAGCTCCTTCACCTGAAACACTTAAGGAATTAGCAGGGAACAGAGTGATCAGGAAGGTTTTGCTCCATTTTCAAATTCCAGGGTGTAGTCGCACTTTTTCTTCAGAATCACATCAGAAATGGCAGAGAGGACTTTTGTGTGGGGTCCTCCCTGAGGTGATGAGAAGCGGGAGTCTCTCGCTCTTGAAGGGTCTGCTCGCATCAGGACGGCACTGTCCTGCAGCCAGGCATCCGGGGCACACGGCCGGGCCTTGAGCGCGCGTGTCTGTTACTTTGCAGGATGGCGCTCACCATCATGGTCTTCGTGAACTACGGAGGCGGGAAATACTGGTACTTCAAGCACTCGAGCTGGAACGGTGAGCCCTGCCCAGAGGTCGCCTGGCTGACTCGGGCCCCGCCAGAGTAGATAGCAGCACAGGCAGAATCTGTCTGGCTCCATTCCTGTCTCTCCTGGAGATGTTCCCGGGTGTTCAGGGGCTGACACTGATTCAGTGCTGAGATGTTTCAGCACAGGTTCGGTGCGGTGATGGACCTAACTCTGTCATGGTCCCCGGGTCGGGGTGTCCCTCCCCCTCACAGAACTGATGGGAGGCTCACCCAGGTCCAGTGGATCCAAGAAAGAGGGAGCCAGGTCTTGACCTGAAAGACTCTCCCCCCACTACAGCTCCTTCACCTGAAACACTTAAGGAATTAGCAGGGAACAGAGTGATCAGGAAGGTTTTGCTCCATTTTCAAATTCCAGGGTGTAGTCGCACTTTTTCTTCAGAATCACATCAGAAATGGCAGAGAGGACTTTTGTGTGGGGTCCTCCCTGAGGTGATGAGAAGCGGGAGTCTCTCGCTCTTGAAGGGTCTGCTCGCATCAGGACGGCACTGTCCTGCAGCCAGGCATCCGGGGCACACGGCCGGGCCTTGAGCACGCGTGTCTGTTACTTTGCAGGATGGCGCTCACCATCATGGTCTTCGTGAACTACGGAGGCGGGAAATACTGGTACTTCAAGCACTCGAGCTGGAACGGTGAGCCCTGCCCAGAGGTCGCCTGGCTGACTCGGGCCCCGCCAGAGTCCGTGGGTGGAGGCTCCAGCGATGCGTCCCCTCGGATGGCACCTTAGACCGTTGCCTCAGCCTTCAGTTCCCGCCTCCCTTTTGCCTACCCTGGCTTCGCAGTGCTTCCCTGTCACCTGAGAGGTCTGCGGAGGTCCATGCGCCGGCCTGTGGGCTCTGCGGAGGGTGTGAGGCCGTGGGTGTTCCACTGCGCCTTGTGCCACAGCCTCATGGGCGCTCCGCACGGAGACGCCTGGTCCTCCTGCGGATGCCGTGGATCCGGGGGTCTGAGTGATGCTGTGAATCTGCCTGGGGCCGTGGGTTTAGGATGAGTTTTGAGTAGCACTCCCTGAGATCGAAGACCGCCAGCATGCTTCTGTCCAGGCTTCCTGTGCCGGGGCTGCTCTCAGGAAGCGCCCCTGGCCAGCCCCAGCCCAGAGTCAGGGTAGCTCGGTGCAGCTGCGTGGGGTTTTCCTGAGGACGCGCCCAGGCAGTGAGAGATGGACGCCGTCCTGGGTCGGGGAGCGTCGATGCTCTGGGTCCCTTCCTCACTGTCACGCTTGTGTCCTTCTGCAGGGCTGACGGTGGCTGACCTTGTGTTCCCATGGTGAGTTGTAGGCCCACCACCCGCTCTTCGTGGCCCACCCGCCAGCTTTGGTTTTCTGCTGATGCTGGGCCTTCCTGACCCCGGCCCTGAGTTCCTGCGGCGGGCCTGTGCTGCCCTGGGTCTCTATGTGATGAGCTCCTCCCGAAAGCTGGGTTCCCGAACAACTCGGACACCTGGCGTAGCGCTTGTCTAAGCCACGTGCGCCTAAAAGATGGACTTCGGAGGGAATGTTTCGTTAGTGTGCGTATGATATGGGAGATCCTGGAATCTTGTGGAAAGTCATAAATTCTGAATATTCCACTAGTCCTGAAAATATGTGTGAAAATTTTATTTCCTAAAATTTTATTTCCTATACGCAGTATATCCGTATCAGGGAAGTCTGATAAATTCTGATAATGTGTATAACAGTTAATGATAGTAGTGAGTTAAACTCTAAAATAATAGTGGAGTAAGCCTGGCTATCTCTGGCTGTTCCCTTGGTTGAAGGACCCTGACTTTCCATACAGCGCAGGTTTTGCTGACACTGTGAACAGCTTCCCTCCGTCATTTGGAGGAGTTTGTAGAACTGGCCATGGGTTTCTGTCTTTGGCACCTGGTGTTTCATTGCTGATATGAACTTAGGTTTATCTGGGCTGGTGAAGAGTTCCTTTATGTTAATTTTTTTTTAATTGAAGTGTAGTTGATGTTCAACATTATAAAAGTCTGTGCCATATATGTATATTATATGTATATATATGTGTGTATAGTACATGTGTATATATATATATACACACACGTATATACTATCGGGATTCACAATTTAAAAATATAGTTAGGATAAAATACTGGTCACATTCCTTATGTTGCGCAGAATATCCTTGTAGCTTATTTTATACATAATAGTTTGTTTTTGGTGACTGAATGGGGGGATTGTCAGTTGTTCCACAGGGTTTCCCTCTAAGACAGGATGAGAAGGGGCACAGACCTTTCAGACCGACACTGGGATTCTTCCTCCACCTCTAAGCCGACGTGGTTTCAAGAAATCATGTGTTGCTTCTCTCACATCTTAGGTTATAAAATACTGATGATGTAGAGGCGGAAAAGTTGGAAGTGGCCACCGTGTAAGAGCTGTTGTTTTTCAGGTTTGTGTTTATTATGGGAGCTTCGATTTTCCTGTCAATGACTTCCATTCTGCAGCGGGGATGTTCAAAAATCAGACTACTGGGGAAGATCGCGTGGAGGAGTTTCCTGCTAATCTGCATAGGAATTTTCGTTGTGAACCCCAATTATTGCCTCGGTCCATGTAAGTATTTTTCCCCTGTTAAAATATATTCAGGTTGAAATAGGGAAAAGATGTGTTAGACTTTGAAAGAAACGCAGTTCCTCCACCTTAAGTTTTTCTTGCAAAAAGGAACACTTACTCGAAAAGTACATCTAATGCTTGCATGACTTTGGGCATTGTTATTTATTTGGCTGCACCACGTGGCATGCAGGGTCTTCGTTCCTCAACCGGGGATGGAACCCGCGCCCCCCCCCCTCCCTGCAGTGGAAGCGCAGAGTCTTAACCACTGGACAGCCAGGGAAGTCCCTATTATTATTATCTTGGAATTTGAGGCCTGAGAGGTGCCTCCAAGTCCAGGCAAACCCTTCTGCACAAAGGAGGGCCCTGGGGCGGGAGAGCGAGGCGCAGTGTCCGAGAGTAGGGGGGGCAGGGCGGGGCCAGCCCAGCCGCTGGTTCCCGTTGCCGCCTCCTGCCGCTCGGTCTCACCCGCTCTCACGGCGAGGCACGCCCCTGCCGTCGTTGGAGAGGCGTGAGAGGGGCAGGACGGCGGGGGGGAAGGGTGTGAGCCCGTGTTGGGGCAGCGACGGAGCCGGGCAGGCAGAGGCGGCGGCCCGCAGAGGGCGCCCTCTCACTAGCCGGAGACACGCTCACCCAGCAGCCGTTGGGCGAAGCCCTCGGGCCCGAGACGCCGAGGCTTCGGGCGACGGGCGGAGGTGGGGCCCCGCAGGGCACACACGGTGGGCCTCCTGGGGTCACTGTCGGGCCGCCCCGCCGTCGCGAAGCCTGCGGGGCAGCAGAGCCCGGCCCGCGCCAGTCTGCCGGCTCCGCCAGGCTGGCAGTTGGATGCTCATCCTTGACGGGAGAAGACGGGGAGGGGGCCCCCTGCGTCCCCACGCAGAGCGGGACCCTCGGCTGCTCTGCGCCCAGCCTCCCCGCTGGGTGCGAGTGAGGCCCCTGACCCCCGGGTTCCCATCTCCGCAAGCTGCAAAATCAGACTTCCTCGGGCGCAGGAGAGGTCTGTGTGCCCCTCCGGAGAAGGTGGTGTCGTCGGGGTGAGGCGAGCGGCGCTGGCTGACGCCCCTGCCCGGTGCCCCGCAGTGTCCTGGGAGAAGGCGCGCATCCCCGGCGTGCTCCAGCGCCTGGGGGCCACCTACTTCGTGGTCGCCGTGTTGGAGCTGCTCTTCGCCAGGCCGGTGCCCGAGACCTGCGCCTCGGTGAGCAACCCCGTTTTATACAGGGGGGCGGGTCCCCTATAAGTGCCAGAGCCGCCTTTAGTTCTGAGCACCGAACCAAAGAGACGAGACTCTAACTCTGTTACAGAGCATCTTTTTTTCCTCTTCAAGTAGTTACTTTTATTCAGTCTTTATATCCGTCTTTTTTTTGTGTGTGTGATCAAGAGCACATACCATGAGCTCTTTTTTTTGTGTGTGTGATCAAGAGCACATACCATGAGCGCTACCCTCTTAATAAATGATTCAGTTTCCGTTCATCAGTGCGTTTTGCGGGCGTTCAGCAGCAGCACCATCGTCTGGCGCACTAGCCCAGCCCCTCGGGGCATCCGCCAGTGTTTCAGGCTCCTTGTGGAAGCCTCAGAACCTTGCAGTGTCTGCACAAAGGCTGCAGAGATCTGACCTGGGAGGCGCCAGGTCTGCCCTGCGCTGCTCCCGTTTCCTCTTTGCAAGGTGGATGTGAGTGTCTCACCTCTTGCGTTACTGTTTTCTGTCTCATTATAAATTGCCAAGTTCAGTTTACTCAGATGACAGCTATTTTTTTTGGTGCGCCCTGCCCCCCCGCCCCCAGTGGGCAGAGCTTTAGGTGGAAATGTTTAAATCTTTCCATGTAGCTCCTACTTCACAATAAGCTTATTAGCTGTATAAGGTGTATTTGTTCCCACTCCTTCCTATGTAACTAGCAAACTCACCCCTGAATCGCAGGTTCTCTTGGTTCTGCCTGTAAGGCTTCCTCTGTTGTGTATTGCTGGAGTGCGTTTTCCTGGCACTCCTTTACCCCGCTCCCCCCAGCGGCCCCCTGCCCACGGCCCCGTGCCCTCTGCGGCAGGCTCTGAAGGCACGCTGGGGCTGCCGTGCTCTCCCGGATGTGACCTTGGTAGCCGAGGGGGACTTGAGGGTCTGCGAGGCTCGTCCAGGCCCCCACGATGGAGCCAGGGGCTGTGGGAACCCCAGGAGCAGCTGGGCTGTGCCCCTTCTTCAGCCAGCAGAGCTCCCAAAGCTGAAATTGCATTTTCCTTTTTAAAATTCAGTTGTATTTCTTTTTAAAATAATAGCCTTATTGAGATATAATTCGCATACCATAAAACTCATACCCTTGAGGTGTAAAATTGAGGGACATTTTTACCAAATGTCCCAAACAGTCACAGAGCTGTGCAGTCATCACCACTGTCTAATTCTGGAGTAGTTTGATTACCCCCTGAAAACACCCTGTCTCACTCCCAGCAACGCCCCAGCCCTAGGTCCCTGGCCCTAGACACCGCTAGTCTGCTGTCTGTCTGTAGATCTGCCTGTTCTGGACACGTCACAGACACGGAATTACATAGTATGTGGCTTCTCATGTCTGGCTTCTTTCATTTAGCAGAATATTTTTTGAGGTTTATCCGTGTTACGCCATGAGTACTTCAGTCCTTTTTACTCCTGAATAACCTTCTGTTTTCTGAATGTAACATATTTTGTATTCATTCATCAGTTGATGGATAGTTGACCTGTTTTCAGTTTTTGGCTACTATGAATAATGATTCTGTGTACACATTTCTGTATGAACATCTCTAAATCGCTTGGATACAAGAGCAGAATTTTCCACTGACAACTTCTCAACTAGCGTTTTACCGTGACATGTCATATGCTATGCTTGGTCACTCAGTCGTGTCCGACTCTTTGCGACCCCATGGACTGTAGCCCGCCAGGCTCCTCTGTCCGTGGTGTTCTCCAGGCAAGAACACTGGAGTGGGTTGCTGTGCTCTCCTCCAGGGGATCTTCCCGACCCAGGAATCGAACTGGGATGTCCTGCATTGCAGGCAGATTCTTCACCAGCTGAGCTACCAGGGAAGCCCGTGTCACAGAGGTGGCGTATCTGCGTTTGGAATAAACAAACGTCTATTCTGTGTTACCACCGTCGAGGCCAAGAGGGGCCTCACAGGAGCCTCCTGAGCGCACGTGCAGCTGCATGTCATCTCCGGTTCCGCCGGCGCCGAGTCCACATGTGTTCTTTACGTGTGCCCCCCTCCCCCAGGAGAGGAGCTGTTTTTCTCTGCTGGACATCACGGCCAGCTGGCCCCAGTGGCTCTTCGTGCTGATCCTGGAAGGCGTCTGGCTGGCCTTGACCTTCTTCTTACCGGTTCCCGGGTGCCCCACGTGAGGAGCCCTGCGGGAAACCCCGTTTGCATATCCCTTTCTGCCAAGTTGGAGCCTCCGGGTTCCAGCTGTCAGCCTGCCCATATGGGGACCTCCCTTCCTCTCTGTCCTCCTTGAAGACTCCCTGGTGTGGGGGCGGAGGGAGGAGAGGGGTGGAATGTGGGTCCAGAGGCCCGTCTCCGGCAGGTCTCCCAGGGTCAGCGGGAGGAGGGGTGGACTTTGGGCCCCCACCCCGTCTCACCCCTGGGGCGGCCAGGGAGTCAGGGGCTTTGCAGTGGGTGTGCCCGGCGCTCAGTCGTCGTCGGGAGGGTGGGAGTTGGCGGCGCTCTGGGGGTGTGGTGGGCGCGCACATGGCCCGTGCGCAGCCCTCCCCCGAGGCCTGGCGGGTGAAGCACGTGTTTCCGCCTCCTCAGCGGTTACCTGGGGCCAGGTGGCATCGGAGACGGGGGTAGGTACCGGAACTGCACGGGCGGCGCTGCGGGCTATGTGGACCGCCTGCTCCTGGGCGAACAGCACCTCTACCAGCACCCGTCCTCCGCTGTGAGTGGGCACCACCCCTGCCGGGCGGACCCTGGGGGTGAAGGGGGGCGGCCAGATCTCAGCTGCGACTGAGAGGTAGGTTAGGGTGTAGCCGAGCTGTGTTTGAAGCTGGCTGACCTTAGAGACCTCACTTGAACGTTGGTCGTGGGCGCTGTGGTGGTCGTGGGTTGGTCTTTGGCTTTTGAAGTGAGGCTGCCAGGTACCAGATGTGCAGGAGGTGCTTTCCCGTGGGTCTCAGGTCCGGGGCGGGGTGGGCGGTTCCAACACAGGATGTTTGTCCGGCAGCGCTTTGGGATCAGCACGTGTGGGGCTGGAGGAAGTGGGAAGGGGCAGGGGGACCGTCACACCTGGGGCTGGAATGGCCCCTCAGAGGTGTTCTCAGTGGGGCGGGCGTGGGACCAGGCCCTTTGACATCCCTGGAGGGATGTGGATGGCTCAGCAAGGGGGTGACTCCCGAGAGCTGGCTCCCTTCAGGGACGAACCCAGGAGCAGCTGAGAGCTTTCGGCCGTCACTACTTCAGGATGCTCTTGTCCCCAGAGGGGTGGGACAAGCCGGGGCGGGATAGCTGGGTGATACCCCCTGGCACCCATGACAGTAACTGGCTCCAAATTTCTGCCTTTTCTGTAATAACCATTTACCTTATAATGAAATAATGCAGATATGTGTTTAAATGCTATTTGCCTTAAAAGACAAAAGGAAGAAGTCATTGTCACAGTAGGCTTGATCCTAAAGAATAAACCTGAAAAGTAAAAGATTCCATAGTGTTTGAAGCTGTCAAGGGACGCGTTGTGTCAGGGGCACGGGTCCCAGCACCATCTCCCAGACCACCTGAGGTCAAGGTGGCGCACAGCACCGGGGCTCACATCTGTGTTTCCTTCCAGAGTGTCACACACCACAGAAGTATGCTGGCCACAAGTTGGCAGTGAATTTCTGCAGCGAAACCAAAAACATTGACTGCTGGGGTGTAATGAAGTTTGTATTTCGTCTGCGAGTTGTGTGTATGTGTTTTTTTCCATCAGTGAGTGAGTCCTGCCTTCTCGTCCTGTTCAGGTGCTTTATCACACCGAGGTGGCCTATGACCCGGAGGGCATCCTGGGGACCATCAACTCCATTGTGATGGCGTTTTTGGGAGTTCAGGTATTTGTTCATTTCATGAGAATGCGTGTTCCTGACAGTTTGTGACTATTGATTCATCACTCATCCACGTGTCCATTTGACTAAAAGAAGTCATTGGAAGCACAGCCTTCTGTGCAGTTCAGGCCTAAAAAATTCTGCTTCTGTTTGACAGATGGTTAAAACTACAGGGTGCCAAAAGTTAGCACGTTCATATAATTAGGTGTCATTCCGGTAGTCTGGGAAGTTATTACTCATGTGGCTCGTCCCGGCGGTGGGAACGGCAGCCTCAGGGGAGAGGTGTCCCCACTGGGCAGGACCGTGTCTGGAAGGTCACCTGTCACCTTTTGTGTGCACGTCACACAGTTTGAGATCATGCACACCCTGTGCCAGGGCCAGTCCCGGCGGCTCTCGGTTTCTCTCACAGGCAATCATGTTAAGATTCTGAGCAGCTCAGATTTTCCTTCCTGAAATTCTCCTGATTTGGTGTCAGAAACCATTATTTGAGAGGAGATGACTGGGAGGGGAAAGACCACATACTCCTTCCTGGGGGACCTTTGTGACCCTGAAACTATTTTGCATGTGGCTGCCGAGTCCTCTAGATGTGGCTGATCTGAAGGAGGAACTGGTTTTTTTATTTCATTTAAATTTACACTTGAATCATCACAGGTGGCCAGTGGCTCCCGTGTGGGACAGTGTGGGTCTGCAGCATATACATTTTGGTGGTTAAATAATTTCCTGGGTAGAGATGCCGCCTTTCCGTCTGCAGCACTGTAGAGTTTACATTGGTGCTTTTATTCGTAAATGCATTTAATGCCCCCATATGCTCTCCAGGTAAATCTATGCATGCCCTAACTCCGGTAAGGAGTGCTGACCGCCACCCGTGCCTGGACCTCGCACACCCACTGGGCCGTCCGCGGAGTGTTTCTGTACCCCGTGTGCTTCAATAGCAGTTATATAAGTTATATAATAGCACCTAAATAAGTTAATTCACATAAGGCTCCAAGAACAGGACGTTCATAAGTTTTAGCTCTTATAAATTATTGTTAACACTTTCTTCAGTGTTTTCAGAAAATCCTAATTTGGGGGGTGGTTTATGCAAAGTGCAGACTTTTCTGTTTTAGAGTGTTCCCTGCCTCTGGGTCCACACTGCCCCTGTCCCCCTCCCGTACCCCTGACAGACGGGGCCATCCAACAGCCCAGCCTGGTCCCTGGTTACATGGCGGGGGGAGTGACTTTCCTTGGCTCCCATCGCCTGTGGGAGAAGGCTCCTGCTGCCTGCTCCCTCCTTCCCACCTCTGACCCCCTTGGCCTTTCTGAACTACCTGCAGCCCAGCAGGGCAGCCGAGTGCTTTCACCTGTGTGACAGGCTCCGTGCATGCTGTTCCAGGCTGCCCAGCACCGTTCCTGCTTCGTGCTCCTGTCCTCAGTTCAGCAGTGCCTCCTCTATGCGTCCCCTCCCCTCCTCCCTCCCTCCCCAGTCGTCCCTGTCTCGGCCCCCACTAGCCAAGGGCAGGGGGACCATTCATTGCCTGGTAACCTCAGTGCCTACAGGCGAGTCTGTCTGGGTGAATATGAAATAAGAATCCCCCTAGCTGGTTCTCTTGGTCACGGCTGCATTTCCTTCCCCAGGCAGGGAAGATATTCCTGTATTACAAGGACCAGACCAGAGGCATCCTGATCAGATTCGCTGCCTGGGGTTGTCTTCTTGTAAGTAACCCCCTCCCTCACTGAAGTTCCTTTGTGTTTCAAAGAAAGAAAACATATAGCCCTGGGGTCACAGCTGTCTTGTCGGAACATTCTTCACATCATCATCTCGATGCCTAAATGCTTAGGTTGGTTTTCTTAGAAGTCTCTTTAAGGAAGTCAGTGAATCTGTGAGGAAACAGAGCAGAGGGGTGGGTTCTGGGGGGGCCTTTGCCAGCAGGACCTGGCCCCCGATGACAGGTTGGCAGGGGGCAGAAGAAAAGCCTGGCATTCCTCTCCCCTCTGACCCTGCGGTCGTGTTTCCTCTGAGGATTTACTCCAGCTGATCAGCTCGTTTACCTTTGACTCGGGGCAGTGCTGAAAAGGCGCTTTGTGGAGAGTGTTTCTAGCTGCGTGTCCTGTTGATCTGTAATTACTGTTTTTGTTCTGGCTGTGCGGGGCTTCCACTGCTGCGCTCGGGCGTCTCTCTGGGCGTGGCGGGGGCTGCTCTGCTTGCGTTGCACGGGCTTCCCTTGTTGCAGGGCACGCGCTCTAGGGTGCGCGGGCTCAGTCGCTGGGGTACGCGGGCTTAGTTGCTCTGCGGCATGTGCTCTTCCCGGACCAGGGATTGAACCTGTGTCCCCTGCATTGCAAGGCAGATTCGTAACCACTGGACCCCCCGGGGAGCCCATGCTGATACATCTTAAACATGTGTTTCTAGTTAAAAGAATAAAACGGAGGGCACACTTCTCAGCTTTCCCTAAGCGAGGAAGTCACTACTGGTTTTCAGTTTGGAAGCACCGTTGTTTCTGGAGATGATAGAAAAAGCTTTTAAAGTCTTTCTCCCCACCCTACCCTCGCCTCCAGGGGCTTGTTTCTGTGGCTCTGACGAAAGCATCTGAAAATGAAGGCTTTATTCCAGTAAACAAAAACCTCTGGTAGGTGCAGAAGCCCCTTTGCCGGCACACCAGGGGCGGGGGTGGGGGCCGCGCGCTGGAGCCCTGAGACGCCCGCTGTCCCCAGGTCCGTCTCCTACGTCACCACGCTGAGCTCCTTGGCCTTCCTCATCCTGCTGGCCCTGTATCCCGTGGTGGATGTCAAGGGGCTGTGGACCGGAGCCCCGTTCTTCTACCCGGGTGAGCGCCCCTGCCCTAGGCCGCGCGGAGGAGGGCACCCGGAAGACGGGCTGGACCGCGGGAGTCGGCGCTGAGCGTGTCCCGGGGGTCCCAGGCAGCCCCCCATTTTACTGTTTATTAGTTTGTGGGGTCGTAAATGCACCTGACTGGCCTCCTCAGGCAGGTCATTGGTTTCGGGCTCTTCAGAAAAGGGGCCATGCCTTCTAATGGAACTCCCCCTGCACACGCACCCCACAGACGATGCGGGAGTGATATACTTGGAGGTGCTGCCGGGGCCGCTCGGGGCGGTTTGGATGCGCTTTTGCCCGAGACGAGAGGCGGCAGACGGTTTCAGGGACTCGCTTCAGCCCTGAGTCCAGTGACCATTACTCTCTCTGGCCCTCGAGTTTGCTGGGTGAAGAGAAGTTAATATTTCTGATTTTCAGGTTTAGCATTCCAGAGTCACACTTAACAAAAGGAGTACTTTCTAATTTTTGGATGTAATTTACACTCAAATCTCTTAACATACCCACCCCTTGTTTTGGGGGGCCATAGCTGATAGCAGAAGTGGGTGCTTTTTCTCTTTTTCCACTGATCCAAAGGCAAACGTCCAGAGTTGGGTGGATGACCAGCTGTGTCTCCCCAGGGATGAACTCGATCCTGGTGTACGTGGGCCACGAGGTCTTCGCCAACTACTTCCCCTTCCAGTGGAAGCTGGGCGACCAGCAGTCCCACAAGGAGCACCTCGTGCAGAACGCGGTCGCCACCGCCCTGTGGGTGCTCATCGCCTACGTCCTCTATAAGAAGAAGGTGTTCTGGAAGATCTGAGGCCCCGGCCGAGATGTGTCTCTGGCAGAACGACTGGGCCCCGGGATCACTGACAGGAGTCCTTGCTTGTGAAACGGAAGGGCTGTGTGTTCCCCGGTTCAGGGGCCCATGCGGATGTGCTCAGGCTGGTTGACGGGGACACGGCTCACCCACCTCTGCCTGCATACGCGGAACTCAAACAGCCGAACCGTCATTGTCTTCTCTCCATCTGCCGTGTAACGGATGCCTCTGGAACTTCATTCTAAGGAATGAAGGGGATGGCCAGGCCACTTTGCGTCTGTGTCGGATAAAGCCACCTCAGGTCTGCTCTCACTGACCGCGTTTCCTGCAGATTTGTCTTTCCACGCATGTCCACAGAGACCAAGACGCCACCATCGCTGCCGTGTCTGACTGAAGCTCACTGGGTGTCATGTACAGTAACATAGTCTACTATATTTTGGTTACATACAGTTTAATATTCCAAGAAAGTCCAAGTAACATCCTTTCAGCTTCATAAGGTATGGATGGGCCCCAAAAAATGCCTTTCCCTCAGAAGCCATGTTCTGCATTTCCCCACTTGAAAAGTAAGTGAAACTGTGGATGTGTGATTCCCGGCCACCCTCACCAACAGTTACCTACTTAGGCACCTCCCCGAGCCCATCACCTTCCCGTCTGTCTGCCCACCCGCCTCCCAGCCGTCTGTCCGTCTGTGTATCTGGAGGGGAGGGCTCCCCAGAGCCATCCTCCGTCTCTGGGAAGAGAGGAGCCCACGCGCTCTGCCTTCCTCACTGGGCAGGTCCTCTCCAGCCCCGAGACCCAGTGGGGTGGGAGACGTCAGTGGCTTTCCTGAAGTCCTTAGGAGAGATCGTTTTGTTACTGAAAACGCTTCAAAATAAATGATAAGTTTAAAAAGCTCTCACTGGAGTGACTCCTTTCAGAATGACCCTCCACAGCGGAGGCAGCTTGCCTGCTTGGAATCACCAAACCAAAGAATTGTTTGTGGGGCGTGAAGGCGGAGAACACAGCAGACCAGCCCTCCCGTGATGCAGTGTCCTGCGCCCAGGCCTTCTGCGGCAGAGGGGTCGCACTGCGAAGCTTCCTTGCGTGATGAGGTGGGCTCACCTCCGCCCGTCCCCTGGCGTCCGCTGTCGCCCTGTGTGGAGGACGTGTTTTCCAGCTACAGTCTCAGCCCCAACTCACATCCCAACTTGTACCTGCCCAAGGATGCCTCCACCTGCATGACCGCCAGCATCTGGGCGCCCCCCACCCCGTCGTCTTCGGCTGAACTTTCCAGCTCGGCCTGTCCCAGCTCTGCACACAGCCGACCCTCCGTCTCTCGGCTTCACCCGCCCTCCCTCTTGTCCGCCCCTTTCCCGCGTTCAGTCTTGCAGAGTCTTCTCAGTTCTGTCTCCGGCTCCTACCCAGAAGTCCTCGTTCTCGCGGTCACCGCCTGCCACCCTTGCCCAGACACATGGAACCGTGTCTGACCTGGCCTCCCTCCCTGGGTCCCCCTGCAAAGTCACTGTCCACTGCCGCAGGCTGTGCTGCATCTCGCTGTTGGGGAGGCCCAGGCAGCTTGGTGGAGCGGGCTGTGCTGGGAGGAGGTGGATGACTTGTCTGAAGGAAAACGTGAGCAGTGTAGGTGGGAAACTGCCATTATGAAGTGTGCCCCGCTCCTTGTAAACCCAGGGCTGCCCCTCAATCCTCATTACCAAATCTGCTCCCCCAGTATCAGAACCAGGTTCTGGTTACCCTCTGGGGTGTAGCCAACTGTCAGCCCCAGGCGGTGGAAATTCAGAAACTGAGGCACTTAGGTGACCTGTTTGCAGAGTTGATTTCCATTCTTTTTTCACAAGGCCTGATCAGTTCATAATGTGATTGCTTTAATTTTCCAACAAATAAAAGCCTTTCTGCAGTTGAGAGAAAAAGGATTATACTTCATAAAGCAGTGTTGCTGTGCCTAGTTGCTCAGTCGTGTCTGACTCTTTGCAACCCCATGGACTGTAGCCCGCCAGGCTCCTCTGTCCATGGGATTCTCCAGGCAAGAATACTGGAGTGGGTAGCCAAGCCCTCCTCCAGGGGATCTTCCCCACCCAGGGATCGAACCCATCCCGCATTGGCAAGTGGATTGAGTCATGGGGGGAGCTCTCAGATCAAATCCCCTCATAAGAACTAATCCCCTGGAGCTGGAACAGCTTTGTGGGCAGGCAGAACCGTCCCTGTGGTGGGCAGAACCATCCCTGGCTGAGGCCAGATCACCTCCCTGGCTTCCTCCCGGCCCTCAGATCCACTTCCTGCTTCCAGCCCCACTTGCCATCTCCTCAGGGAGCCGGGCCTCTGTCCTCTGAAGGTGACTAGCTGTCCTGTTCTGCTGTTTTCCTCTTCATTCTCTCCTGTTGACATCTGAGCTGTCACATTCGCCCCCTGCCTCTAGGGCGCCTTCTCTCATCTCTTTTTCTTGTCCCAAAGTAATATTGTTTTTCCTCTGGGTCCTCTAATATATGACGGGTCAACCTCGCAGTGTTTATCGCTGTCTGCCCTGCATGACAGCCATCTGGGTACTGGACCGGCCTCCCGCACTGGACCGTGAGCTCGCAGAGGGTGAGGCCTCACCCATCTGCACGTTCTTCAAGTGCAGACGCAGTGCCCTATGCCCATGTGGAGCAGGCGCCAAATCATCATTCGTGGAAGCAAAGCACCGGTGGTGGGTGTGTTTTTAATTTAAGTGCTGATAAAATTTAGCGTATACCTGCAGTGCACATGTATGTGCACAGGCGTGAGAGGCAGTCATCTCTGAGGAAGCCCCTCTCTGGCAGGGCACCTTTGTGGGTGGTCACAGCTGTGTCCCTCCGAATCTCAGCAGGTGTGGCTGAGCAGGGCCCCTACAGAGGCAGTGCACCCAACTGGGGAGAACGCCAGTTAGGGTGTCTTGAGCTTGAAAGAGCAGGAACTCCAGCTCCAGCTGGGTTAACAGGAGAGCACCACCCGGAAGTAGTTCTGGGGCAAGTAGGCCCCAGTTCAACCTCGAGGGTCAGATGCCACCCATCACCATCAGGACGGCCACACACACTCAGCCCCTCGACGCGGGAGGGAGCAGGCGTCCCCTTGGTGCCCCGTAACGTTATTGGCCGGAAAACCCTCCCCAGACTGTGCAGGACCAGCCATGACAGGGAGCTTGGCCTGGCTGGGCGCGGGCTGAGCGGGGACAGCTGGCATCTCCCTGGGGAGGGGTGGGGACGCCCCCGGGCGGCGCTGGCTGCAGAAAACACTTGTCACGGGTCATTTTTGGAGGAAGTTGGGTGGAATCCTTGAGTAACAAAGCAAAACGTGCTGTTCTATAGTGGGGCTCTCGTAAGCTAATATTGTGTCTTCATTTGTGCACCTATATTCTTAACTCCTCTATAATGAAGTTGGTAAGTTGCTGCTCTTGTACTTTGCCTCCCTTCACTCTGGCCCATAAAAGGCCCCTTTCGTGAGCGCACAGTAATCGAGTTCGTGTCACCCAGTGTCAGTTTAAATAAAAGTCAAAATACTAGCTTTTATTTTTCCTTTAATATTGTCTCAAATAAACAGGGGTGACAAACGGACTTTGAGGAACTTTTTCAACATCTCAAACTGCCTTTCAGAAGAGGTTTCCATCAATTGTGAAAATCCAGGGGTAGAGCTTTAAAAAAAATCCTAAGCAGTAGAGCCACAACCCTAGAACAATGCAGTTCAGGCTTTAAACATAACTTTTGTTTAGTTTGAAATGCGGTGCGAAAACGCACTGCCAGTGGTTGTCTTCAGTTGTGTGTGTAACCTGTTTTCACGGGTGAGGCGAGCCAACATTTTTCTCCTGATAATCAGTTTTTCTTGGGCATTAATTCCCAAACATTGTTTTTCTCCAGGCTAAATGCATTTCCAAATTCAAAGTTGATTAGATATGCTACATGTTTGCATCCTGTCATAAGATGCCTCTGACTCCATAACGCCTGATTTAATTGCGGATGTGCAGACATGCAGAAGCAGCCAGCCTCCCCCCGGCTCTCCTTGGCAGCATCCAGCCTGAGCACATCTGTCAGGACAGCTGGCTCCTTCCCGCGGGGCCGAGCACATGGCTTCCCACAGTGTCTGTTACCGTCTCAGGGCCACTGGGATTCTGTCCTGCTCTCCGGGACTTTCTCTACAGGGGTCAGTTCTTTTTCTGTTTTTCCCACCTTTCATGGCTGTTCATTGTTGCGCTTTGTCAGTGGTCACGCCTTTCCACTTTGATACTAAGAAATTTTCTTCTGATTAAACTCCATATGTTGTTTGGCTCGTTAAGTGGTGTGTGCATGCCAAGTCCCTTCAGTCGTGTCTGACTCTGCGACCCCGTGGACTGTAGCCCGCCAGGCTCCTCTGTCCATGGGATTCTCCAGGCAAGAATGCTGGAGTGGGTTGCCATTTCCTCCTCCAGGGGATCTCACCGACCCAGGGATCGAACCTGCCCAAGTCTCTCATGTCTTTCTGCCTCGGCAGGCAGGTTCTTTACCACTAGCGCCACCTGGGAAGCCCTGTAAAGTGGCACCAAATCCTGCCCGCCTAGGAGACGGCTCACATCAGTTTAACAAAAACCCCAGGCACCACTGAATTAAAAAAAAAAAAGGGGGGATGATTGGCCCCTTTTTATCTGGTGCCTACACACGTGGGTGTTAGAAAGTCTTGTTTTGATGTGTGTGGCCCTCAAACACTGATCCGAGGAAGGGATTATGAATCCGAAAAGGGTCGAGTGCTTACTGTGAAAGTTGCTAGGGGCAATACACACGATGGTAAAAACAACAGGATGATTTTTTTAAAAACTAATTGTTTTGTTTGGTTTCGGCTGTGCTGGGTCTTCACTGCCTCCGTTTTCTTTTTTGCCGGGCTTTTCTCTGGCTGCAGAGAGCGGGGTCTGCTCTTGGCTGCTGCTTGTGACGGCTCCTCTTGTTGCGACTCCCGGGCCCTGGAGCACAGACTCGGTGGTGATGGCACACGGGCCTAGTTGCTCCGTGGGGATTGCTGGGTCATATGGTAGCTCTATTTTTAGTTTTCTAAGGAGCCTCCACACGTGGCTGCGCTAGTTTACATTCCTACCAACAGGGAGGGGGGTTCCCTTTTCTCCTCACCCTCTCCAGCATTTATATGTAGACTTTTTGGTGATGGCCATTCTGACTGGTGTGAGGTGTTACCTCATTGTAGTTTTGATGTGCGTTTCCCTAATAATGTGTGTTATCAAGCATCTTCCCCATGTGCTTCTTGGCCACTGGTCATCTTCAGAGAAATGTATTTAAGTCTTCTGCCCAGTTTTTGACTGGGTTATTTGATTTAAGTTGTGTGAGGTGTCTCTATATTTTGAAGACTGTCCGTTGTTATCATTTGCAAATGTGTTCTCTGGGTTATCTTTTCGTTCTGTCTGTGGCTTCCTTTCTGTGCAAAAGGTTTGAAATTTAATTAGGTCTCATTTGTTATTGCTCTAGGATATAGATTCAAAAAGATATTGCTATGATTTATGTCAAAGAATGTTCTGCCTATATTTCCCTCTGAGAGTTTCATAGTATCTGGTCTTACATTTAGGTCTTTAATCTGTTTTGAGTTGATCTTTGTATATGATGTTAAGAATGTTCTGATTTTGTTCTTTTACACATAGCGGTCCAGTTTTCCCAGCACCACTTACTGAAGAGACTGCCTTTTTCCCATTTCATATTCCTGCCTCCTTGGTCATAGATTAACCACAGGTGCACAGGCTCATTTCCGGGTGCTGTAACTGCACCATGGAGCTGTGTGTTTCTTGGCCAGCACCGTCCTGTCATGACACCCGGAGCTTTGTGCTGTAGCCTCGTCAGGGCGTCTGATTGCTCCAGCTCTTTTTGTTTCTTACGATTGCTTTGGCTTATTTGGGTGGGGTCTTGTGTGTTTCCAT